AATACTTAATTAATAATAATATATAGTTAATTAATATATGTAATTATAGTATAGATAAAAAACCTTGAGGGTATAATAGAAAAGTATTTAAAAAGTTGAAGAGTGAAAACTAAAAATATTAAAGGGTTAAAATTAAAAAATAAAATAAATAAATTTTATTGTATTATATAGGTGGGGGTGTAGAAAATGTAGGGGAAAAGAAATAGGAGGGGGTGGGGTTAGAAAACCCCATATTTAAATATATTTCAGATTCTTTTAAATAACGAAATGAGTTAATTTTTTATTCTCGATTTATAGTAAAATTTATTATTTCGATATATTGCATGACAATTAGTTAGTAATATTCATAGGGGTTGGTTCAAATTATATCACTACTAAAAAACTGGGTTTTTTCTAACGGTTTTCGAAAACTTAATTTCCGACAGATTTTTTAAAAACAAATTAATAAATAATTCCTCGGAAATCTGTCGGGATCCGCCGGGAATGTAATCAAAATAAATATTTATGTTTTCTGAAGAAAAAAAACAGTGACTGATTTGTGGCGGAAATCAACAAAAATTGACTTTTTTGGACCTGTCGGTAATTTTCCAAAGGAAAATCTGTTAGTGAATCCATTCTTTCAGTAGTGTTAGAACCCTAAATTTCGTAAGAAAATACAAAAGAAAGGTTAAGTGATTGTGAATTGTTGAAAAAATCAATTGAAGATACATATGTGAACTCATATGAATAATCTGTAATATCGATTCACATGTGCACCTTCAAATAGATTTGGTTTTTTTCCAGGTTTTTCAATTATTCACATATGAATTACTTTTCTATAACCTTCCCTTTTGCCTTCACACAATATTTAACATTTTAAATAATTTCATAATAGTTATCAAAGTAAATTTCTATTTTTGTCCCTATGGTTCTAAAATTTCGATTTTCATCCTTATGGTTTTCAATTCATTTCTATTTTCGTTCCTAAGTCCAAAACACTACTTTTAAATATAAACGACTAAAATAAAAATTAACTATAAACCATAGGAATGAAAAAAGCAATAAATTTGAAATTACAAGGACGAAGAACGTAATAAACTATAAATTATAGGGATGAAAACCGAAAATTTAAAACACAGGAACAAAAATAGAAATTTTCGACAAACCACAAAGACTAAAAACGTAATTTAATCTAATTTCTAATAAGAAAAAAAAAGTAAAAATGATTCAATAAAATGATGATATTTTAATACTAAAATACTTAGGTGAAAAAAATCAAAAAACAAACTTAATAAGTATCAGGCAGGGTTGGGTTCACGTGAGGCCAAATGTTTTTCGTGAGACCCATAAGACCAATTTATGTTCATTGATCAACTTTATAAACTAATGATTTAATGGTCTAAAGTTGCACGGTGGCAATTTTGTGATTATTGAGAAGTCTCGTGACAATTTTATGATTATGAATGTTCAGATTGTACATCTAATCTAAGGGTTGAGAATTGATCTTATGGGTCTCACGAAAAACCTTTGGTCTCACATGATCCCAAGTCGTATAAGGTATTGCTTAATAATACATAATCTTTAAATTTCAAGTTTACAAATAATTATTACATACATATAAAATTTTAAAGCTCTTTAAAGCCATAACATTGAAAAAGACTACAAAATAGTAAATATGTTCAGATTCAAGATAATTATAAACCCTACTGATATATCATAATCTCCATTTTTTATCTTTATCCTTTTTTTTATTAACTTGGAAATCCAACCCGTTATGCAAGCCGACTAAAACCAGAGTAGCTCGATGTCACTGCATTTGAATCTTTGTGGTCACAAGGAGATTTTTATTTCTCCTTAGATTTGAATCTGAGCCTTTGAAACCCAAACTCAAACCAATCGAACACCACCTTGTGGTTTTTTATCTTTATCTATACTAGAAGCGTACTCGCGCAATGCAGCGAGATACATCGTGATTTTAATATTTCATTTTATTCTTTATCTCAGTCGATGTTATAATATGACTTTATGTGATTTTGAAAAATCGATGATGTTTTTATTTTTGAATAAAATATATGTTTGAAGATATCAATAAAATTTGACAAAAATATATCGATATTAATATCAAATTAACTATTTGAAATTCTTCATTTTTTTGTGTAATTTTTTAATTCAAATTTTTTATAATTTAATTTATGTACAATAATGAAGAAATTTATATTTGGTTTAATAATATAAT